TATTTTTTTCCTTTAAATTATGCTCTAAAACTCATATATATTAAGCTTAATGTTGGATGATTCCTTAAAAATGTATCAGGGAGTTATGTGCAAAATCATAAAATGAAAAGAGTATTTTTGTGACGGAGCTCCAGTACTCCGACTGAGTACCTCCGCCAAGTCTGCTTCCTTGTAGCTATCAGGGACCCTGGAACACTTCAGACCCAGTTGCAGAGGGGAAGACAACACTTGGTGAAGATTAAACAGAAACTCTTGGAAACCAGGGCCGATCCAAGGATTTTTGCTGCCCTAGGCAAACAAAAATTTGCCGCCTCTGTCCCTATATGTTCTGAAAAGTATGTTTACATTAAAAAGCCTGTAGTGGTTCTGGTGACTATAGTGGCCCTTTTATGTGAGGTAAATGAGAGATTAGTGCCAAGAGGATGATGATGGGCTCAGGCTGCAGTCTGGCTCCACTGGTCTGGTGTAGAAGAGGCTCTCTGGAGAATGAACTCCCTTTTTTGGGGCCCCTTACACAGCTCAAGATCTGGGCCCCCAGGGCCTGACCGTGGGTATGCCTACAAGGCCCGCCCATAAGTCCACCTACATGACCCACACATGGGTTCACTCACAGGGAGTGGAGTGTATGTGTGTAGGGGATGTGTTATGTGTTATTGTAGAGGATGTAATGTGTGTGTGTTCTTATGGAATGTAGTGTATAGGGATACCAATTTATGTATAGGGGATGCAGTGTGTGTTTGTATGTAAGGTGTGTGTGTAAGGGATGCAGTTTGTGTCTGTAAGGGGTGCATTGAGTGTGTGTAAGAGATGCATTTTGTTTATGTGTGTGTAGGAGAAGCAGTGAGTGTAAGGGATGTGTGTGTGTGTAAGGGATACATTGTGTGTTTCGGTGTGTCTGTGTGTGTGTAAGTATGCATTGTGTGTTTCTGTGTATGTGTAAGGATGCATTGTGTGTTTTGGTGTGTTTGTGTGTGTGTGTAGAGATGCATTGTGTGTTTCTGTGTATGTGTAAGGATGCATTGTGTATGTTTGTATAGTGAAAGAGAGGGTTTGTGGGGTAGGATAGGGCCTGAGAGGGGAGCAGCTCTTTATTTTATTTTTTTATAGTGCTCTCCCCTTCCCTCCTGTCTATTAGTGATCTCCTCTCCCCTCCTGTACCTTACTGCTCTCACAACACATATGCTATACACACACTGCCTATACTACACACACTACATACACTATACACACACTATTTCCCATACACATACTGGATTCCCTATACACATACACCACGTTCCCTAAACACACACATTACATCCCCTACAAACATCTCCACATTACACTGCACCACAGGTCTAAGTTCCTGCAGGACACATTGACAGTCAGACAAACATTAATTTAGCAGAAACTAAAACTAAATTTGTAGAATGCCATTTTCTATGATTTTAATATTATCTCTCTGACGGAGCTCACACTGATGTAATGGTGGGTCATGCTCATTATTAGACTGGAACCTAGTGTTCCCTTTAAATTATGGAAAGAGTTGTAAATGTCTCTAAGGATTTGTTCCATTAAAAATAAAGGGAATGTGTTCTAACTCTGTCTCTCATTATAATGAAGGGTGAGCCCCTATCAGTTTGCAGTTCGCTACGCTCTCTTAGAGATAATTAAGTAATAACATATTCTGAGCCAGGTAATGTCATCACAGCCTTTTGGGAAAATTAGCACCAAAGGCAAAGACAAGGGTGGTTAATGGCCCTATTACATTGAGTATTATCTGTCTTGTAATGGCTTGGAAGTCACAGGATGTCAACAAACTGCGATGAGACAAAGTGAAATATACCTCAAAATCTCCAGAATGTCCTACCACTCTTTATATAGTTATATCAACTTCATTAGAAAGGTAACGCATGGGACTGTAGGACATAACAGGTGGTGAAACAGGAAGGATGTAGTAATTTTTAACTAAAAATGTGTTGATAATGTGTTAGGTTTCCCAATTGAATGTCTTACTTGCAGTCAATTTAAGGGCAATATTTTATATTACATTTAATAGAAGGCTGAATGTCGTTTGATTAGTGAAAGGTCTGCATGGACTGCAAAGTACTCTTTTAGAACTCACAATAGTCTGTGCCTAGGGAAACCTACAATATAAATCCAGTTCTGACTATTCACGTGTTCACTATTCACATAAATGGGAACTTTGTTCCAGTCTCTCTCTTGATATTCACATGGAATAAATATGAGAGTGTTTAGAGTTTTTCTATGTATGAGGTAGGTAATATTTATAAAGGACAG